TTCAACGGAGTTTTGAGTCATGATGAGAAACCGGGGGGGGGGGAACATAACTCAACAACGGTATATTGATAGATTCAGAGATGTTGTTGACAGGTGCAAACTTAGAGATCTTTATATGGAGGGTTACTTATTTACATGGTCAAATAATAGAGAGGGTATGGAGAATATCCAAGAGTGGCTGGATCGTGCAATGGTGTCTAACTCTTTGTTTGATAATTTCCCATGCTCTAGAGTAGTGCACTTGCCGAGAAGGAAATCAGACCATGTGCCTATTAAAGTAACCATCCAAAAACAACTCAGTGTGAACAGCAAGAAGAAAAAGAGAAAACGAGGTTTTTAGTTTGAAAAGGAATGGCTCAGGGATGACGAGTGTGGTAATATTGTTGCTGACTCATGGAATGTGGGGGAGGATGCGGATGTGGTACACAAGATTAAAGTGTGTGCTAATAATTTGCGCTCATGGGGAAGTTCTCGAGCCTATAACTTTGCGAAGGAAATTGCTAACAGAAAGGAGCGAATGAAGACCCTTATGGAGTCCCCTCCAACTCCCGAGGTACTAGGTGAAATGCGAGATATTGATAACAAGATAGATGAACTTGAACTCAGAGAGGAAACACACTGGGCACATAGAAGTAGGCAATGCTGGCTTCAAGATGGCGATAAAATACAACCTTTTTTCATAAGAAGGCTGAGCAACGTCGCACTAGAAATACTATCATGGGTGTTATGGATGAGGGTGGTACCTTGCGCAAGAAGGAGTAGGAAGTTAGAGCGGTTTTCACATATTTTTTCCAGAAACTTTTCACCTCCAATGATAGTTCTGAGATGGAGCTTGTTCTCGATAAGGTGCAATGTTGTGTTACTGATGAGATGAATGTTGGGCTTTCTGCGATGTTTACAGGGGATGAGGTGTGCAGGGCTTTAAACACAGATGCATCCTAACGGGATGCCGTCTCTTTTCTACAAAAAATACTGGCATGTGGTAGGAGAGGATGTGATCTCTTATATTCTGAATATTTTGAATACTGGTGCACCTATTAATGAGATCAACCACACTTATGTGGTTCTCATCCCGAAGAAAAAAGACTGCACATCCACTCGCGATTATCGCCCGATCAGTCTTTGCAATGTAGTATACAAATTGCTCACAAAGGTACTTTTTAATTGGCTTAAACTTGTCTTACCTGATGTGATTAGTGAATCTCAAAGTGCCTTTGTCCCGGGGTGGCTTATTACAGACAATGTGCTTGTTGCTTATGAGTTGTTTCACTATCTCCGCAAAAAGAAACTGGAGTTAAGGGTTATATGGCTCTCAAAATCAACATGAGTAAAGCATATGATCGAGTTGAATGGTCCTTTGTGAAGGGCATGCATGATGCTGAAATTGGGGTTTAACCATGGCTTTGGTGAATTGATCTTTAGGTGTATCTCTTCGGTTTCCTACTCGATCTTGTTTAATGGATTCCCTTCTCCGAAATTCACTCCAAGAAGAGGCCTCCGCCAAGGAGATCCCATTTCTCCTTTTTTATTTCTCATATGTGCTGAAGGCCTTTCGGCCCTGTTGCGTGATGCTGAAGCTAAAAAAGTAATCCATGGATCTGAGTCAAGGTCAGTAGGAGTGTCACACCTATCTCTCATTTATTTTCCGCAGACGATAGTTTGTTATTCACAAGGGCTTGTGAGGAAGAAGTAGAAGATGTCTTGGAAATTCTCATCTCTTATCAAATTGCATGGGGTCAGAAAATAAATCTGGAAAAATCAGAGGTCTCGTTCAGCCAGAATGTGAGCACTACGCAGAATATCCTTCAATTGAAGCTAAATTTCATGGCTGTGAATGAGCACGAAAAATATCTTGGATTACTAATCGCAATTGGTAGGTTTAAGAAAGTAGTTTTCCGGAATATTCAAGACAGTGTCTGGAAAAAGATTAAGGGGTGGAAGGAAAGATACTTGACAAAAGCCGGGAGGGAATTCTTGTTGAAATCCGTGGATCAAGCTATACCTTCTTATGATATGCAATGTTTTAAGCTCCTAGAATGTGTGCTAAATAATATGAATTCAATCTTCAAGATCTTCTAGTGGAGCCAAAAAGATGATTAAAGAAAGCTTGCGTTAATAAGTTGGAACAAGCTTTGCAAATCGAAAGATGAGGGTGGTGTCGGGTTGAGAGATCTAGGAGCCTTTAACATGGCAATGCTTGCCAAGCAATTTTGGAGGCTACTGGTAAATCCGAACTCTCTTGCTGCGAGGATTCTCAAAGGGAAATATTTCCCAAGAACTGAAATTTGTAGTGCAAAGGTTCCCCCTAACTCTAGCTTCACTTGGAAATTAATCTTATCTGCTTGAGAGTTGGTGTTATCGGGGTCAAAGTGGTATCTTGTTAATGGGAAACAGATTCATTTCTGGAAGGATAATTGGATCCCTGGTCTCCCTGAAGGCCGTCTCATCTCAGTGCCTCCTGTGGAAGGTGCAAATGTTACATGACCATTTGACTCAAAGAATCGCGAAGAAGGTGGCTAGAAGCTTGATTCACTTCAGAGTTTGTTGTCTGAAATGGAGGTGGAAGAAATTAGAAGAGTTAAGTTTGCAGAGAGTGAGCAACCTGATGTTATTGCGTGGATATATACAAAAAATGGCGATTTTACAGTAAGGAGTGCATATCACTGTGAAAGGCAGAGAAGAAGCAATGAGCCAAAACCTTCGAATGCTGATAATATAAGGGGCTATGGATGAAAATATGGAAGGCTAAAGTCCCACCAAGAGTAAAAAATTTGGTGTGGAGAGTTGTTCGTAATGGTATTCCTACCATGGACATTCTTAAGAAATGTGACATGAATGTTGACCCCCTCTGTCAGAGATGTGGTGACTATGCAGAATCTATTGCTCATATGGCTCTCTATCGTAGGGAGGCCCGTATTTTATGGCGCCTCTCTCTTCTTAGGCTAGCCTGCTTGAATGGTGCGAGTCTTTTGGCAAAAATTGCAAGAATTATCGTGCTTGGGAGCTTGCTATGATGATTATTTGGCAAACTTGGAATATGCGCAACCTATGAGTCTTTGATAAGAAGAAGGTTGATCCTAATAGAATGTGTGAACGAGCTGTAAGTCTATTGGGTGAATATGATGCTGCTATGGCTCGTGATCTCCCCCCAGGTGCCTGGTAACAATACTGCTCCCTCTCGGTGGTTTCTCCCTCCTATGGGACTAACTAAATTCAATATTGATGCAGCTCTGGGAAGTGATAAGGTGGGCTTGGGAATGGTGGTGCGGGATCATTGTGGTGATGTGTTGATGTTTGCAGGTAGAATGCTGAAAGCAACCATGGAGCCTAAACAAGCTGAGGCAGCAACAGGTTTGTTTGGTCTTACGCTTGCCTATGTGGTGGGTTTTCGTGCTGTAATCCTAGAATCAAACTGCTTGAATTTGGTCACTCTTCTCCATGCTAAGTCAGCGGAAAAGTCAGCTACACAAGTGACTGTGAACGATTTTTTTGCTTTGGTTTCTTCCTTTATTTCTTGTTCTTTTTGCTTTGCTATTAGAGGTTGTAATAAAGTGGCCCTTTCCATTTCAAGGCTTGCTCTATCCTTTGAGGAGGACTTGATCTAGATGGAGGATTTCCCACATGAAGTTCTACTATCTGTTGTTACAGACAAATCTTTAATATGATTCCTTAGTTTGTTCTCGTAAAAAAAAAAAAAGTATAAATGTAAGTACTAAACTATCACATTTGTTGCAAATTGGGTACTCAACTATCAAATGTTGCAAATTAGGCACCAAACTATGGGATAGTAATTGCTGGAGAGAATATTCCAACCATGTAACCTACATCAAAGTCCAAAGTTTAGTACCCTTCTTATGTTTTACTCCTCAGCCTTGTTTAACAGGTTAAAAAAAGGGAAATTTGTCTAGAATTACCCGGAAGATAGGCTCATTTGTGAATAACTACCCTTTTTTTTATTTGTTTACAACTACCCGCAAGTTTGAAAACGTTTGGGTAGCACTACCCATTAACGTTTTCCATCCAAAAAACCGTTACTGGGCCCCACATTGTACACGTGTCATTTATTTATTGGATAAAAAAATTAAAAAAATAAAATTAAAATAAAAAAATAAAAACCCAGCCACCAACCAGCCACCCCAACCACCGTGAAACCCTAGCACCTACCCCCCGTCACCACCAAAACCGGCCGTCTGCCACACTTAACCTCTGAAACAGCCAGCCGGAATCCCCCTGACCACCAATCAGCCACCCACACCACCATCTCCAAACCTACCAGCCACCGCCACCCCCTTTCACTGCAAGCGACCCTAACCCAGGACCTACGAACCCTCTCCAACCACCGCCTCTCCTCCCTCTTTATCTTCTGACAACACCGAAACCCACCATCGCACACCATTTTAAACACCGTCTCGATTTCGATTGTAGGTGGTGGTTTCGATTTCGGGTAAGGAGGGATTCAGTTTTGGGTCTGGGTTTGGGGAGGGTGGTTCGAATCCGGGTGGCTCGTCAAAGGAGAGAGAGGGCGGTGCGGCGAGTGACCCTAGTGTGGGTCGTGGGTCAAAGGAGATAGAGGGAGGGTCGTGGGATTGGTAGGGGTGAAGGGTTGGTGGCCGGCCGTTTTCGAAGGTTAAGGAGGGCGGTCGGCCGGTTTTTGGTGGTGGCTGGAGGTAGGGGCTAGGGTTTCACGATGGTTGGGGTGGCTGTTTTTTTATTTTTTTTATATCCAATAAATAAATGACACGAGTACAATGTGGGGCCTACTAATGGTTTTTTGGATGGAAAATATTAATGGGTAGTGTTACCAAAACCTTTTCAAACTTACAGGTAATTATTAACAAATAAAAAAAATGGGTAGTTATTCACAAATGACCCTATGTTGCGGGTAGGTATAGACAAAATTCCCTAAAAAAAAACAACCAATAGATGAGCACTACACCACGTCTCAACCTCTGGAACGGGGAAACTTTCCAGCGAACCAGAATCAAAAATTATAAAAAAAAAAAAAAAAAAAAAAAAAAAAAAAAAAAGGTTTCCCGATTAGTCAAACACTCAAACTTCAAAAAAAATTCCGGAAGATGAGCAACATGATGAAGCTACCAACTACTTTACGATGCTCAATTCTCCCGATTTCACGCTTCAATTCAACCACCTTTTCCCCCAAACTCCTCCTCCTTCCTTTTCCCAACTCCGTCGTATTCAAATCTTCCTCCGCCGCTCCTTTTCTCTCTCCTCGCCGCACTCTCGCCGTCGCTTCCATGGCTTCCTCGTCTCAGGTCATTTTTTACTCTGCATCTTCTAGGGTTTCATTTACTTTTTTTTTTAAAATTTTTTTTTTATTATTTTATATTTATTTTTTATGATGATGAATAGTTGTGGTTTTCAGACAGTTGCAGCTGGAACTGCTATTGATGATGTTGAAATTCTTCAGCGTATTCAATCTCACCAGGTTTTTAAATTTAAATATTCCTTAATTTTGAATACAATTTTTTTTTTTTATAAATGTTATTATCATATAATCATATTTACTTGATCGAATTGTTTTTTTAAAATTTGAAAATTGATTATGATTGCAGGAAAAGGCTGCTAGGCTTCCGCCTGCGGAAGAAATTCGAACTGTTCTTGCTAATACTACTCGCGGCATGCTTTCCACCTTCTCTAAGGTCTACATTTGATTAAATATTGCTGTTATTTGAATTTAATTGCGTTGATTGTTGATGTAATGATGTGTTTTGAGTCGAACTGATGAATGTTTGTTTAAATGTTCATGTATGTGATTGAATTTCAAAATCTTTTTACTATATCTGTATTTATGAGCATTTTAGTAATGCGTGTGGTTGAACTTCAGGAGTAATCATTCCTGTTGTTTGCTTATTTTTCCAATCTATTGCGTATCGTGCAGAAATATGATGGTTATCCATCAGGATCAATGGTAGACTTTGCTTGTGATGTTGACGGATCACCAATCTTGGCAGTCAGCAGCTTGGCAGTTCACACACAGGTATGTTTCGTATGGCAGTGTTCGTGCTTGACACTCCCATGGTCTAAATTTTATTCTGTAGTAATCTTTTCAGTGGCACTTTTTTTTCTGTTAGTAGTAGTTCCTAAGTTATGGAAAAACTTTATCGTTGCAGGGATAAATGACATATATACTGTTTGAAAACTATAGATCAAGCATATGATATTAATTCCTAACTGAGATAAAACCCTAGACAACCTTGAGAGATTCTATTTATAGCCACATTCAAGTTGACTTTGAATTAAGGGGAGAGATTCAAGATTCAAGATACAGTTGACCATTTTTTCCACCTCACTTGGAAAAAATCTGAGTCACTGTACTTGCTGTTTATCCGATTTGATAGATCGATAGGTTCTCTACCAACTTATGTCCGAAAAAAACATGTCTCTATCCATTGTAATCGTATGAGGTTCACTTATATTCCAAGCAACACCCAAGAATTGAAGAAGTGCATCTATGGCTTCTTCTGAGTGTTGCTGTTTATGTAACTTTCCAAAATTTGTAAAATGGATTGCTCAAAAGTGAGGAGAGTTAAAAAAGATGTACTAGTTCAAAGCAAGATTCCTTCTATATCCCAAAACCATTTGGTAGTGAGAGAACCAATTCAAGTGAGATAACAACTAACATGTGCACACACATATACAAGAAAACTTTTGACACTTTTCCTCACTTATAAGTTGCATGTACTCATAAGCAAACTGTATTCTTACACGCTCAAACTACATTTAAAAGGTCTATAGTATTAAACAAGCCACCTTGGGTTTGCTACCATATCAACTTTAGACAAAGGGAGTAGTAACCTTCCAAGCTTGCTTAGGTGGTTATCATCTATTTACTTCATCAAAGTGAACAACACGTGTGAGCACTGAGCAGTCTGAGCACACATATTCCAATTTCAATTTTCAACAGCTATATTATGCAGTAGTAGTTCCTTTGGAATTTTCTCATCAATGATACTTTCTCTTGTATGAAACTGAGAATGCTCTGATGAGATAACCTTGAAAGCTGAAAGAGATAAATTTTCAGCGGTGACCACACTGCTTAAGGGTTTTATCTTTTGTTAAGATATTATTATACCTTTTGTGTTTGTGTTATTCTCTCAAAGCAAGTTTAAATTCATAAAATCTGGAATTAATGAGTCCATTATCCAAATTTTTACCTTTATGTAAAGCCCTAGTTTGGACGATTAATCTATCAGCACAACATGAACATAGAAAATTTGAAGAACTGTTTTTTAATAGCACCCCTTTTATGTGGTTGATTGACACAATATCAAGGAAAATGAGGATTTGGCAGTGCCAATGTAGCCAGCCATAACCTTGTTTAGGAATGTGGAGGGATTTAGAGACCAGTTTGGCATTTTTCTTTGTTCCTCCATTTTATTGGGGATTATAAATTTCCTTGATTTGATGCTGTAATTACTAAGCTGGCATATGGAGTGTTCTATTTTGTGGAGCTATTACCACTGGACTTTTCAGACCTTGGCAACCTGATAAGTTCAACCCAAAGTTGCTTTTGATATACAATCTTCTCACTAAGTGTCATCCTTTTATTCATTTATTCGTTTCTTGTTGTGCTTGCTTCAAGATGATTTGTCTCCTGACATAAAATATTGTGGACAAGTCTACAATGTCTTCATTTGTTTATATTATTCTTCAGTTAATCTCCTGATGATGAGTGGTTACGAGTTTCAATTGAAAAGCTGGCATCCAATCTTTCTTTCACTCTCAAACATAAACCTCTTTTCTGATATCTTGGATGTCCCTTTTATAATCTCACTTCTGAATTTGCAGGACCTGTTAGCCAATCCACAGTGCTCTCTGCTTGTGGCAAAAGATCCAGAAGACAGGACTGATTTAGTTATAACTCTCCATGGTGATGCAGTTTCTGTAAGGTTCCCCAATCTCTCTTATGTTCAGTTTTTTCAATTTACAAAGCCTACTTTCTGAATGTAGCTCATGTCAGAGAATTTTATTTTAGGTCAATGAACAAGATAGAGAAGCTGTTCGCAGTGCTTATTTGGCTAAACATCCCAATGCTTTTTGGGTGTGTCCAATATACCTTTTGGGTGCAATTGCTTTTCATGGGTACTTTTTCTTCATTGTGACATTGTCTATTAATGAACTAAAACTCTAACCTTTTGGGTGTGAAGGTTGACTTTGGTGACTTTCAATTTTTGAAGATCCAACCAAAAGTGGTGCGGTATGTATCTGGGGTGGCAACCGCCTTATTGGGATCAGGAGGTTTGTTAAATTCCTCTGTTTGACACTCTTAGTCTTTCATTTGTGAAAAAGCTTGTATTCTAAAATTTAAGTAGAGCCAATATGTGCAAATTTTGCTGCTTTTTGTTGACTCTGATGTGGTGATTCAGATACTTGCTTCCCTCATCTCTCACCCTTCTTTGCTCTTCCATAGACCAGGCAATCCAGACCTTACCCGAATGACCCGACCCATGACTCGAAAACGTCAACCCGAAATTGACCCGAACACGAAACTGACCCGATCCGACCCATACCCAAACTTGGCTCGATATCCGAATCGACCCGACCCGAATTGACCAGACCCGAAGTTGGCATGATACCCAAAGCGACCCAACCTGAAGTGACCCGAAACCCGAAGTGACCCGACCCGATCTTAACCCGAATCGATTGACCCGAACAGACCTGAAACCCGAAGCGACCCGAACTATACCCAAAATGACCCGAGTCAAAATTAACCGATACTCAAAATGACCTAACTGATTTAGGGCTTAATTACTTTACCCGAATAAACACTTATCGAAAATAACCTAAACCAAATCGACTTGTATCTTTCAGTTGATATTTATTACTGTATATAATTTACGTTTTGGATGTTCTTACTGAGTTAGTGTCTTTGTCTAAGTAGACTAGTGGAGTAGTCCGTAGTGGACTAAGTCTAACCGTCCAACTGTCCAAGGATCTTAGAGTCTTAGTGGTCTTAATTCACTTAATTATTTTTTTGATTTTTTTTTTTAATAATAGTTTTCCCACTTATATTTTTAGTGACTTTATTGTTGGAGGGAAAATTTTCTCACTATTTTTAAATCAAACATTCAAGTTATTTGGTATAAGAAGTAGTTTTCCCACAAATTTTTTAGTGAAGTTACTTTTACTTTTAGAGGGAAGAATTTCCCACTACTAAAAAATCAAGTGTTCAAGTTAAATGTTTGATTAAATATGGAGGTAGATTTCCCTCTAGATTTTTCAATCGTAACTTTATAAATTTTTAGTTTTTATAAAAAAAACGATCAACAACCTTAAAAATAATTTTACATCTTAATATCTCAATATATAAATATAAAATGGTGTGCATGCAATAACTTTAAGGCGCTTGGTCATTAGACAACATAAATAATTTAATTTTAGCTTGTTTGACATCGTAACAATAAATATATAATCAATCAAATCAAGTTATAACACATGATTAATCGAATCGGTTACGAAAAGTTCACGAGCAGTTTAGCTCGTGTCCACTCCTAGTCTCCTATTACTCTATTAGACTAGTAGTAAAAGTAATTAAGGAAAATGATATAAATAACTCTTCGTAATTTAGATTTGAAGTACAAGATTATCCTACGATTTTGAATTATAATTCTTATAATCATACAATATTATTATTTGAGAAGATAATATAATATAATTTGAATTGTTGATTATAATAATATTATATATCTTACTAGTAGTTTGTGGTTAGGACAAAATCCAATGTTAATTTATATATCATAATCTTTACATGTAAGATTATCTAGAATCTAGATATGAAGGTTGTTTATTTCCTTGATTATTTAATGTAAGAAAACATAATTGGTTAAGAATGAGACTCTTACGTGGTCTTATACTCTTACATGACATGAGTAATGTGCGTGTATTTAGTACTCGTAAATTCGTAATTTATAAAGAGTTCCCCTTGATTAGGAACACTTGTTATTGTTATTATTAATATTACTCTTCTTTTTTAAGTGTTACATTTAAATTTTTTTCCACTATTTACGTAGGGTGTGTTCTCTTCATGTTATTGGACCTATGAACTTATTTTAACTTATTAGACATTATTTAACTTATTATACCTTATTGAACTTATTAGACTTGATTGAACTTATTAGAACTCATTGGACCTTTATTATTAGACTTGATTAGAACTTATTATATCTTATTTAACTTATTGGAACTTATTGAACTTGTTAGACCTTATTGAATTTATTAGTCTTTATTAAACTTATTGGACCTTATTGTAACTTATCTATACTAATTTGTACTTATCTGAATTTATTAGACCTTTAACTTATTTTTATTAGGTGAAGTCGTGAAGAGAACAAGCCCTTAAACTAATTTGAATTTTTGACTAATTAATCAATTATAGTGATTATACGTATGAAACAATAATATTGTAATAATAATGGCAATAATAACAATGATGTTGATACTTAGATTTATATTTCTAACCAAAAACAATAGTAATTATAACGATAACAATAATAAATTTAACTATCTTGACGCCTTGACCCAAAGTTTCGACCTAAACATGACCCGACCCAAATTTGACCCGACCATAACTTGAATCGACAATTGGACTTGAAGATTGACCCGACCCAAACTCAACCCGACCCGAATTTCATCAAATCCAAACTTGACCCGACATTTGGACTCGAATACTGACCCGACCCGAACTCAACTTGAAGTGTTGACTTGATACCCGACTCGAAATTCGAATTGACTTGACCCGACCCAAATATTGATTGACCCGACCCGAATGACCCGTTTGCCGGGTCTACTCTTCCATCTGATAAGACGTTTGACGTATTTTGTTTGAAGATGTTAGTAGATTAGCATGGCCGTGTGGTGCTGGGGTTCATTGCCTAGCAGTTGCCTTAGCATAGTTTATTATATGTTTTTGTTATTTTTGTTCATACCGTCATTTGCATTCTATTTCTTCTCTTATATTTTGGGGATGGCCTTCTCATTCTCACCCTTTTTTTTTTTTTTTAAATTAAATAATTTGTGCATTTGATTGTGTGGCCTTTGAGTCATTTTGGATTGTAGTTCTGTGTTGCTTTTGGTCTTCGTGGGACTATTTTTGGTTTAATGTTATCATCCAACTTGATCTCATCTTCTTGACAGAGTTCAGCAGAGAGGAATACAGTGCAGCAAAGGCAGATCCAATATCCCAGTTCTCCAAGCCAATAGCGGTATTTCCCTGACAAGGGGGCTGTTATTACTTCTGTAATAATTCATTGTGATTTTTTGTTTGATAACTCTTGTTTTTGTCAGTCGCATATGAATAAGGACCATGAAGAAGACACAGAGCTAATTGTGAAGCACTCGACTACCATACCGGTAATTTGATACACCATTATTGTTCTGACATACATACATGCATACTTTTCAGCCGTGCACACATGAATAGAGCAAAAATTGCCCCACTGAACAAGTGAAGTCGGTTTCTTTTCAAGCTTTCTGGTGCATATGCCTTGGAAGCTCTGTTAAGGCTACTACTTATACGAGAATGAGTGTTTAAGCCATTGAATTTTAAAGCTTCCAAAATTTTTAAAAAATCACCAGCGTAGTTTTCCAACCCAACAGCTAAAGTACTTTTCCTTCTACGAGATAAAGAGTGTATGATTCCATTACTAGGTGCCACATTGAACATATAATTTGATAGATGTATCTATGCTTGGGAATGAAGAGACAAGGAAGGGGGTGTTGAAGAGAGAGAGTCTGCGACCAAACAGTAATTCTGAACTGAGTTTCTATATTTTTGCAGGTGGATTCTGCTTATATGCTGGATGTAGATCATCTAGGTTTCAATGTCAAGGTAACTCAATGTTCAGCTTGCTTGCTGTCTTATATTATGGCAGTTTGCATTGAGTGGCTTGCTATACAAAATATGTGTTTTATGTGTTATATCTAGGGATCTGAAGTGTCTTGTCTATTGCATTCATATAATTATGTGTTATAGAGATTCATTTCAATGAAAATTTCGTAAATACTCCATATTAGGGGTCAGGTCTATTGTGGTGTTGAATTGAACTGCTGCTGTAAAGGAACCTAAAGGGGTTGATTTTAGCTTTTTGGTGCTAGTCACAAATTCAAGTTTGATGAATTGATGCTTCACTGAAAGATGGAGCGCAGCTAACAGTTATTTGTCTATCGTTTCAGGTTAGCTATATGAAGAAAACTTACAAGCTTCGAATTCCATTTCCTAGACCAGCAGCTGATAGAAAGTAAGTCACTGAATGATCTTTAAATACTTCCTCTTCCAGGTATTGTTATTGTTAGGAGAATATGGTTTTATCTGAAAATACTTCAGGTTTAATAATGAATTACACTGGATATATATTTAAATCTAGGAAGGAAAGTAATTGTAAAGAAGAAAGTGGCTCCATTTGCTAGTTAAAATTGCCAAAACTTTAAACTGCTGGAGGAAATATTTGCACAATCTTTAAATGTATTTTTTTTTTTTTTTATTGTACTTCTAAACCTCCAATAATCCTGAGGAGGTATTTAGTTTTAGCACCTGTTCATGCCAGTGAATGGAAATTCCCTTCATCTGTCGAGATTGTGAACAACTCAATGAACCAGGCAGAAACTAAACCTCTATTTTGTTTTGTCAGGGATGTGAAGACACTCATAGTTGAAATGCTTCAAGCGGCGAAGTCAAGCAATTAAAACTTGCATCTTTCAAGAGAAAATGTAAGGGGTCGTTTGGTTTGTTGTAGTGGAATGGATTGGTACGAGGATCTCATACTAGGGAGGTATGGATTCTAAACGCCATACTTATCTAAACTTGTTTGATTTATGTTTTGGAATGGTTTTTACATTTCTTTTAAGGAATGGATTATGAATCTTAGGGGGTGAGGTGGGTATGAGATTCTAGGGAATGGAGTGCACTTAGAAGTTTAGGACCTTCTTGGTATGAAATTCTATATCTAAAATGTCTAACCAAACAATAATAGACATGGAATGGACTCTAACTCCATTCCAATCCATTCTAAAAGCTTCAACCAAACGACCCCTAAGTGATTTCAAAGTTTTGAAGTTAGATTAGGCCCTGAAATTGTTTGACAGGATCCGTAATTCCTTTTAACTAGTTGATATCTCATTCTTCTTATACCATAATTCAGTCAAACGGATCTTTGCTTGTGCAATAATGTTTTACTTTATGCTAGTGTTAATTTCAGCTGAACACCAACTGGTTTTCTCTTTGATTTTTCCATGTGGTCTTTAAGTTAGTGGTTAGATTACATGATATGTGGCAAAATAACACATAATCAACTAATCAAAGTATCTCTCAATTATGACGTTGTATATATATATATATAAGCACAGCCTACGTGGTCCAACTGAACTCGGCTTGGATTATGCATTATGGAGAGAACCAAGCTAGGGTCAAGACTTCAAGACCCCCAAGTAGTTGGTACATTAACATCACCTCTAAAACCAGGGGAACTGTAGAGCTGTCACTAGCACTACAAGATATAAGATCAAAGAGGGCAATTAAAATCGCCCTCTTTGATACAAATATTGTCCTTTTAAGCTTACAGGGCGACTTTGAAATCGCCCTCAAGCTCGCCTGTTTGCATTGTTGTATTAGTTTCAAAGGGCAACTACATATTTTCGCCCTCTTTGTTAAAGATCAACGAAGGCAATAAATATCGCCCTCTTTGATCAGAATCTAAGAGGGCTAAACTTTTCGCCCTCTTTGATTGAATCAAGCAGGACAATAAGTTTTTTTGCCGTTTGTAAACAGCTCAAACAAGTCAGTTTATTTCGCCCTCCTTGCTCAAAATTCACCCTGTTTGTTAAAAATTAATGGGCGAAATTAAAACTCGCCCTCTTTGTTCATTTTTTAGTTTTTTAAAAAATTAAATCTAGGAGGGATTACATTAAGAAAAAAAGGGATTAATAGGCATAATTTCTACTTTTGTCAATTAATAGTTTAATACAAAAGTGTTGGCTTCTAAATAGCAAATATGCTACGACATATAATATAACTAAGCCTGAGTACTAAAATTTAAAATTGTATGCACAAGCTGCATAGCTACAAAAATTTGCAATTAAAAAAGTCCTGTGGGTTGTTTCTTTTGGTCATCATGTGGCTACCATTCCAAGTCTCTTGCTGCGACAAAAGAGGTCATAGCTACCAGCTACCATTCCAGCAAGTACCTGTAAATATGCTTGACAGCAACAACTATTAAGTACAGAGATAATTTGTAAATTAATGAACTATATAAATAACTTATGCAATACGAGTATTAGCTAAATCATAACACCTGTTTTTGCCATGAACAGAGAGATACTAGAAGCAATGGGTACAGGTTTGGATATATACATGTAAATTTATCAGGGACTAGACCAAAAACATATTTATCTTGGTACACAAGGGAAGGATCCAAATACATAAAGAGTATAAAAATATCCGATTCTGTAGGAACAAAGTCATGCAGAACTTTATACAAATCATTTAAAACAAGATGTTCTTTAAATCTAACTGACAGGAGGCAATATATACACAAACCGAAGTCAACATTTAACAACATACACTTAATTCAACATCATACACACTAATCCTAAGAACCAGCATATGTTATTCAGCAGACATGCATTCTAAAGTGCCTGAATCTTGCAAGAATTAAGCATTACAGGCAGAAAAAGTACCTCTATCAAGCATCAATGCCAATCTTCTCCATGACTAACCGAAGTTTAAGTTCTAGCTCTGCTTGTTTCTTCTTACCCTTTAGCAATTCAGCACGCATGACGTTTTCATTTTGCAAATGTTCTATATTATGCTCTACCTTAGCCCTTCCTATCTTTCCATCCTTGGGCCAACAAGGGGTGTCCTTTGCCTAAACCTCGGGCGTAACCCGAACGGTGTCCAAGAACCTTCACATAAGCTTCTTCAAGAGTAAGATTATCGACCCCCTTTTCTCCAATTTCTTTCTCATGCAACTGCCTAAATTCATTGAACTTCACCTCAGCCTCATCGTCAAACTTCCCATTTTTATGCCTATTAATGGTTAAAAAAAGTAAGAAAATCATAATTTTACAATAAAGGAAAACAAAGTGTAGGTGCGTTGGATAAATACTCATTTACCTCTTTGACTTATCCCATAGCTTCAAATACATTGGATCATCATTAGCTTGTGATGATCCAGTTACATTTGAACTAGAAGCATTAATTTCAGTGACCTCATTCCCATCTTCACGCCGACTTGCAGCCTCTGCCTCAAGTTCCTAGAAAAATACATACATACACTTATTATTTGGATTTTTTTCTTCACAAACACACACAAGAGAGTAAATTGCATAAACCTTTGATAAATTATTAAGTGCTATATGAAGCTCAACAATTCATAAATTATGCGAGCTATTGATTTCGCACCGTATGCTGACTTGATCTTCTTTGCAAGAGCATTTGCCCGATTCTTCGTACTCCTTTCCTAACAAAATAGCATATTAGATTAGTAAAGGGGAAGAAATGCCAATTGCAGAATTTTGATTACAAGAGTATTCCCAATACTTACCCTCTGTTTAGGAGAGCTCCAATAATTATAAACAAGCAACTTCCATTGATCAATTTTTATTGTAGGTGGGCAAGCACGCTCTACCTCTATGAATTTACGGCTGAAGCACATTTTCAAATCACACTTTCTTTCCATTATAAATACTCCTTAGATTGTGGTGATGGAAATATGCTCACTATTACTACTGAAAATGCCGAATCCATCTTAGATTCAGATCAATTTGATGGGGTTGCCAGTATTCTCGAAAGTATAGTCCCTGATTTGGCTAGCTTGAGGCTTACTCCTTATAATGCTTTAGATATTGGGCACCTACGTCAAGTAGACATTGAGGTCTACTACTGTTGGAAACGAACCCCGAAAGGTATGAATATTCTTCATATTCGTATCGTCCAAGAACCATTGCCAGAAGTACCAATGGGAGCTCCAGTTGGTGCATGGAATGTACTTGGGACAAACACGTTAAATAGTCGACGCATTATGAGAAATGAGCTTTTGTTTACCGAGATTAATGCTTTTCTCAACTCATTTCCAGCAGGGAGAATGAGGGAGAGAATAATGTCTGGGTCCGAGATAAGCATTGCATATGTTTACACCCCTGATCAAGAAATTCGAGGCTTACAATTGAAGTTGAGAACTAATAATCAACCTCCATGCTTGGTGTTTTCATTAGGTTCTCTTACCCAACTTCACGGTAACTTTACGTACTGTAAGTTACAAGTCTTGTACTGTTGGAGGGGTGAATGTTTGGAACTAGCCGTGCAGCTCCAAAACAATTAAAGGGGACCTCCTTATTCTATCTTGGAAAGGTGTAGCTATGTATGTTACTAGTTTTGTGGCCGGTTCATGTTTGTTAATTAGCTTTTGTTTTTTAGCTAATGTTAGTATGGCTTTTAGGTAATGTTAATTAGTATGGCTAGCTATTAGTTAATGTTACTATGTTTCAATTATGCTAGTGTATAATTAATTTGGTGTGGCTCTGCCACTCATTCTAGGGGAAAATAAGGCTTTTTAAGGTTAGGTGTGTGGTGAATATGTGAAATAGTTTTCTTCACATATTCCCCACTCACCTAACCTTAAAAAGCCTTATTTTCCCCAAAAAGGGTTATAGTCGCCCTTTCTTTAACTATTAAAATGCATGGTAAACCTTGAAACTTTGAAAGTTACCACGAAGTACGTTTTGTTAGTAACGTGATAACGTAAGACTATCTCACACAATATTTTGGGTTACTTATTTTCTGTTATACCTATGCCAATCGTGTTTGTAGATATGCATTACAGGCGTGGTGACAGAAATATTGCTTCAAATTGGAGGTGAACATAAATATAGGAGTACTACAAAAAAAAATGCAGCAGATTATTTGCAGAGTTTGCGTTGTATAGAGAAAGAAGGCTTGCAGCTAATAGATTATCCAATCCTGATTACGATTATTGTAAATTATGCCTGAACTGAACACATAGTGGACATTTTAGCAATTAAAGTAGTATTAAGCTTCTGTTGAAACTATACCCTAAAGAAAATTCTTTTAATTGCTCTCTATATACTTGCTACATAATTTTAAATTTTTATTTAAAAGGCGTTTCTCTAATAAGGTTGGTTGCAATTCATTGCAAATTGTCAAAAAACTAGATTTGTAAACTAGGGTGATTCTTGTTCACACGTATATTGTAGAAAATGTCACAATCTTGTTTGGCAGGCTATTATGCAAAATAGACTATCTTTTTATTTATTTTTTCCTCCCTTCAAAGTGTTGAATTACATAAATCTTTATTAACCACATACGTAATATAAAGAAAAAAGATGATTAAATGAACAAAGATATTTAAATTCTTGCAAGGCAGTAAAGAACTTGGAAATCTTGAAACTCATAAAGCAAAAAAATTAATCTATTACTACCAATTAGTGAAAATCTTGTATTTTTTTCAAGCACTAATATGTACAAAATGGATGAAGTTGTTCCTTAATTCATTTGTTTAAAGGAAGAATAATCAGTGAACAAAAAAATACAATTTGCATAGAAGCAATAATCAGATCTACAAAATCCTAATTTTCTTTTTGCAAACGACAGAAGCTGTCGACGAAAGGAGCTCGTTTCACTCCGAGTCGCTGTCTATCGTTCCCATGCCCATAGCCTTTAAACCTCTTGGTCTCTGTTTCATTACCGAGCAAACCAATCAGCATTGAGATAAATAGATTATATCATTAAATTACATCATAACAAATTAACAACCAATCATCCAAAACTACGGAGTACAATCAAAAAGTGAGACAGAGTTTCAGTGCCAGTACATTGAAGCATAGACAAACCCAAAAAAATGTCCCCTATTAGTTGTAACTAAGCAGCCCGATTAAGTAACATAGTTGTAGTTATAACAACACCCAATCCAAAACTACAATCAGAAAGTAAGATCGAGTTTCAGTCCCAGTACATCGAAGTATCAACTAACCCCAATAAAATCCTATTAGTTGTAGTTGGAAACATAGTTTCAGTTTGCACTGTATAGCAGCAAATTCCAATTCCCAACTCCAAATTAATCTCAAAGATGTTATACCCTATTAGTCCTTCAATCTCTAAATACACTCGTGATAAACAAACCACGGTATTATAAGCATATCACAGTTACAAACTTGACTGCTTGAGTTTCCCTATTTCAATAGTTCATAAACCTACAATACTTGCTCATTCAGACAAAATTCACGAGTGTGGAGCACAAAGTTGCACACACATACCATCTAATTGAAGGTACTTCGCGGTTGAGAAACATTACTAGTAAAAAACGATTTACAAAAGGGCACAAAAATGGTAGAATAGATAAAATAAATATTAGTACCTTCTTGGGAGTCTTCTTTTCTCTCACTTCATACCTCTCTTGGCACATATCAGACAACCATGCTCCTGGACTCACCAACTGCCATTCCAAATACCACCAAATCAGACTAACTCAAACTTATTTTCACAAATTTCATAAACCAACCATTCAACCAATAATATCTTCATTATCTTTTTTATAAATCAAAACTTCAAAATTCGTCAACCATATAAAACCAATCATCACCAAATCAGGTTACGCCACCTCCAATACAAACAAGGCGGCTAGCCTACTTCTGCTGCGGTGTGTCACATATAAGAATTTACACAAATCTCGGGAAAAAAACAAAATCATTTCCACTTATATAGAATAAAATTAATCGAAAATTCAACAAATTAGTAAAGGAAAAAAAAATGATATTGGATAACTTACAAGTAAAGTACGTTGAACCAATTTAGCCCTCTTTTTAGGTCTTTGAGGAAGTTTACAACCTTTCATGGCAAGAAAATCTTCTTCCTTCTCTTTACTTGATAAACTTACAAACAACTTCGGCCATACCAAACCCCCTCTTTCTTGCGCCGTAATCCCAAACCCATTTCCTTCCGCCATTATTATCGACTTCCCATTTTCTCTCTCGTCTCCAACCGTTGACCCTCTCGTCGTATAATAACTCTCTTCTTTCTCCGGCGACTTTAGATGTCCCGACGCATCCGAACCCCTTAAAGAAAGGCCGAATAAGAAGGCAAATTAATGAAATTTTCGAAACACTAGATAGAAACCCATCAATCAATTATTATCTAGTATCATTACCTGTGGTTATGGTTGGTGCTTGTATTGTTGTTGTTTGTGCGGTGGAGCGGAGAGAAAGAAGGGTCACCGGCGGCGTCAGTGGTAACGATGCGAGATGTGATTTTCTGGCGGATTCCGCCGGTAGATTTTGATGAGAAATTTGGATTTTTAACACGAACACATCTAAGTCTTTTCCCCCACTGTAACACAAATTCTGGCTCCGTCGATTTAATCTGATTCTTCTCTTCTCTTCTTTCCATGAATTGTATAGATTTCCTGCAATAACTTCAATGTTAATGAAAATGAAAAACAATCATAATCCCATAAATAAAATTAGATTCAAAAACAAAAATACGTTGAAACTTACCTTAAGATCTAGTATTGTAGATGAAATTATAGAGTTGAAATTACTCAAAACATTCTACCGTTTGAATATGAGAGTTTGAGCAGTATGATGTTGTTGTTTATGAGGTTTTTTGGGTGATTTTGTGGGTTTTTTCACCTTTGATTTTCAAGCTTCTCATATCTTTCTTTCTACCTTCCTCTCCTTTCCACTCCTCTCTTTTATGGGGTTTTGGTTTAGGTGACTATAAAAATAAAGAAAAATGTTTGTCTAGAGAGTATGAATGTATGTATGAATGACAAAAAGGGGCAAGAAATTAAAGACGTTTCCTTCACACACCGTCATTCGGGCCTTATTAAGGCACATATTTTGGGATGTATTATTGGGCCCTCTCCTTCTTTGAGCAAATGCTTAGATGGGGCTAAAATTGGCTAAGACCACTCTTAATGGTGAGCAAAAAAAATGTTCATCCACTGTTTCTCTACCTACTTTCTCTTTCAACAAATCTGTTTTGCCCATGGACAAATTTTTTTAACAATATTACTCCAAATAAATAAAAACTAGTCTAAATTTGTGTAACTTATTTTTTCTTCCTGCAATGTCTCGCTGACTAAAAGAAGGGGGGTAATTTTTACATCGCCGGTGAACTTGTAAATTGTTCCACAAATTGTACAGCCTCTTTTTGCTGTGGGATATTAGTATGTGCTGCCATATCTGTTCTAGATATATATTCTTTTATAATTGGAATGAATGAAATTATATGAAATCAAGTACTTAGTGCTATTTTGTACGTGGTATTAGCTAATTTACTGCATCATGAATGTTTTTTTATCTTCTTATTGGTCATACTTTTGTCGAAGAGAAATGGATGTTTTGAATGGAACTCACTTCTGTCAGTGTCCAAGTATAACACTACTTAATTGAAAAAAGAAAAAAAAAATTGGATAATTTGTAAATTACCACCCAAAAATGTTTCCATTTTCAAAATGACGACTCGTTTAATTTTTATTTTATTTTACCACCCCTTAAATTAAATAACCGCTCAGATTATCACCCATTTCAAATATCCAGTTGGTTTTCCGTCTGAGTCTCACCTAACGGCTACTAATTGCTATTTTGACCCTTTTGATTGATTTTCCCCCCGATTTTTCTCTTTAATATAGCCCTCCCAGCTTTTTGTTCTTGATTCTCGCTTCCATTAACGATTTCAATGCTTTGACATCCTTCGAGTTCGCCACAACAGCTTCCTCGAGCCTTTTTTCTCTCTCCACGCTGAAACTTACATTTTCTCCCTTCTCCAACGTCTCAACCATAGGCGATGTAGCTGGCTCAGCTCTTGCAATCAACGGCCTGTTAACCCAACCCGGAGAAGAAGATTGCGGTTGCAACAATGTCAATTGAAAGAGGGGTTTTGAGGAGAGAGAAAGGGTTCATGCTTCAATTGGATTGGGGTTTTTCTTAAATTAGGGTTCCTATTTTAATTGAATTGGGGGTTTTATGAGATTAGGGTTCCTACTTAAATTAAATTGGGGTTGTTATGAAATTAGGGTTCTTTCCTCTTTCCCCTTTGCTTGAAGTGTTTCCGTTGAGTGCGGCTCCTTCCTCTGCCTCCCATGGTGTCCATTTACACATTTCTTGAATATTATCAACCTTATCAAGCTAGTCCTGAATCCTTACTCTTGACACAAAGTGTTGCCATTTAAGTTGGTCATTTGTAATATGCTCCCATACACCTGATGTCTTGATTGCTCATCTCTTGGGTTTACTTTGCTTGTTACCAAATGCCACGATCAAAACTTCCACTTCAGCACTCAATTTTTTTTCCTTATAACTGGTATTTTGCAGGAGTCGTTTGCAAAACGGTGTTTCTCCATGATTGATGAGTATGCACCTGGCTTCAGCTCATCAGGTTCTTAGATATGACATGCTTACTCCAAGCTTTGTTGCTTAAATTAGAGAAAAATGTAGGATTGAAGGTTGAAGAAGGTAGGAAGAAGGTTGAAGAAAGTAGGAAGATGGAGAGAGAAAAAATCGAGGGAAAAAATTGAAAATATGGGGAAAATATTTAAATTACCACCCGTTAGGTGGGGTCCACAAACGGAAAACCACCGGAATTTTGAAATGGGTGGTAATCTGAGCGGTTATTTAATTTAAGGGGTGGTAAAATAAAAATAAAAATTAAATGGCTGGTTATTTTAAAAACAAGTACATTTTTTTGGTGGTAATTTACAAATTATCCAAAAAAATATTGTTGACTTAGATTCAGTCAAAGTGTATTGACCATTACCAGAATTCAAAACGCCCTTGGTCACGCTTGATGGAGGATTAAAACAATGGTTATTTCAACAAATACTTAATTCGTTAATTTACAATATACCTATGAATTTTTTTTAATACACCATATACACCTGAGTTTAACAACAATGTCACCAAATGCGCAAATTAGTAAAGGACATTAATTTGTTAGTCTATATTTCTTTTAATCAATAAAAAATTAAAGTAATTATTTAATTATAATTATAAAAAATAAAAAAAATAAACCCAACCACCCACAACTCCCCCGCCAGCCACCTGCCCCCCACCCTAACCACCCCTCGCCGGCGCTCCGCCCCAAACCACAACGTCGGCGCCACCCCAAAACCCCTTGCCTCGTCGACGCCCCTCCCTTTCCCCTAAACCATCCTTCCTTTACCCGAAAACCACCTCCCTCGAAAAACCCTCCATCACCACTCACCGGTGCCCAAACCCCCTCTTCTACGCCGGCGAACTTAATTCGCCACTCTCCCAGCCATTAACGCCCCCTTTCCCCTTGAACCAGCACGCTAAAACCTTATTAAAACCAAAATCGAGACCTTAAAACCAAAATTAGGGTTTCGATTTTGGAGTTTTAGGGTTTTGGGGTGGTGATTTTCTGCAGCCGGCGGTGATGAAGTTGGGGAAAGGGCGGAGATGGTAGGGGGAGGGGTGAATTGCGTTCTCCGGTACGGGGGAGGGGGTTTTGGAGCGCTGACAGGTGGGGAGGGAGGTTTTTTCGAGGGAGGGAGGGGTTTTAGGTGTTGCGGGGATGGTGGTTTGGGCCGATTTCAAGGGGTTGGGTCGGGCTAACGCCGGCGCAGGGGTTCAGGTGGGATTTGCGCCGACATCGGTGTTGGCGTGAGGTTCATGGGAGGTGGCGGTGGCTGGGTTTAGGGGAGGCGGCGGTAGCTGGCTGGTTTTTTTTTAAAATATTTTGATTTTATTAATAATTATTTAAATAAATTAAATAAAATAACTAATCAAGAGATGTCAAGTGGCACAATTAACCCTTAATGACTAACGGAATTGACGTCCGTTAATCATTTGGGTATATGGGGCATTTTTGTTAGACTCGGGGGTATATGGTGTATTTGAAAAGTTTGATGAGTATATTGTGAATAAGCAAATTACTCACCCGTGGAAATCAGAACGGAATCTCTGGCTGCCATGCATTCACATTAGAGTAATATTTTTGTCAATACTGCTTTCAATAATTGATCTAGTTCATAGTTCGCTTTGCTGCAAGTTGATGCTTGAGATTTGTCGTTAGTAGGATGTTGATCAAAGCACTTGACAGGAACATATAATCAACTCGAGTTTGAAAACATAAGTATATGATTTTGAAATGCCTAAGTTCTAGAAAGTAGATAATGTAATGACTCAAAGTGGACGAGTACATATTATAACCATCCAGAATTATGTAGCTTCAACACACTATTTCTTAGAAAACTAGGAAAGGCTACTTGTCTTGGTAGAATTCCGCAAGACGAGTAATGGATTGGAATCTTGACACAAAACGTGTAATAGACCGATATTCTGGTGCCTTGTCTCCTGCTGCGATAATAACCAATAACGCAATGATCATTAGTCAAGGCATTCATCTTTCAACATGTAGGACGTAGGTATACAGCTCCAGTGTTGTGTATTAGTATTGTGTGAAGAGGGGTATGAAGAGTATGAAGGGTAATGTCATGTTCATGTAGATTGAAGTATTATCCTCTATATAACTCATGACTTGTTCGGTCATTTTATAGGCAGTAATATTGTCAATATTGTCACAAGTTTATAAAGTAGGGTTTATATAAGAAGTATAATGTTGTAAGAAAATTATAATTCATGGTTTGTTTACCCTTTCCTTCACAAATTTTCATTAATATTGGTAACGCTAATTGCCAATATATATTCGCGTAGAAAAATAAATTATTATGAAAATTTGTATGAACTTATCATAACTATAAAAGGCCATCATGAATTCATAACTTTGCACAGATTTTAAACCATATCAAATATTATGAACACTTGCATCATCCTAAGGTAGCTTACCTTGTGAAAACCGAGGGGATGCTTGGGATTGAAGTGTGGAGTGGATATTGGTTCTTGGTATTGTGGTGGTCAAATGAGTTCTTGGTATTCTAATTGATGAACTTGATCATGGGACTGAAGTCTCCATTGTATAAGTGTGTTATAAAATGATTTCAATCAAATTCTAATAACTTTAATTTGGGGTTCAACTTTAATCAATTATTTGAAAATTTTGAGAATGATGAACTATACAAATAAGAACTACTTTTATTTTGATTGAAAAGGTACACATAGCACGCATAATAATCCCTACAAATGTAAACTATAGAACATAAATGAAATTTACAAATAAAAAATTTAGAAATTACTTATGTGTTAATTTTGTGTTAAATGTATTAATTTAATCTTTATATAATTATATGTATTTAAAAATAATATGGCATTGTTGTAGGACTATGGTGGAGACATAAATGATTATAGTGGGATTTTTGTACATGATGGTCTCTTCGGAGATACTCAACAAGCGATTGATTGGGCAAAACAGGTTGCAATTAGATCTGGTTTTTCTTCAAAGAAAAAAAAGATTAGAAAAGATTTAATTTTCCCTTCCAAATATATATTGATACCATAAATTTCTTAAAATTATATGTCACTCTGTTTTATTAGAGTTTCTAATGAATTGTTTTATGACCCTACAATCATTTTATAACATTATGTAATTTATCATTGTACTAACAATTATTAAATGAATGTACCAAAATACCCTTACATCGATGACACTACCACTAATGACGAGCTTATGTGGATGCCGATCAAATGATGCCAACTTGGTTTTTCGGTGTTATAAAAATGTTCGGATGGTTGTGGTAGCTAGATAAGTGTGGTGGTTGGTGGTGGTGAAATGAGCGATATTGGTGGTAGCGAGAAAAAGAGGAAGAGGAGACAAAGAAGGGAAGGATAATATTGTCCAAAGAGTGGTCGACCTTTTTTTTTGGTTCATATGAGCCACTTAGGGCGGGAATGAGAATCGATCCCAGGATCACCTGGAATCGGGAGAAAAGCTCTTACCAACTGAGCTATCCCTCACTCTCAGAGTGGTTGACTTATGGTTGCTATATACGAGCCTTCTATTTAAATAATATACGAGCCTGCTATACATTTTGGGGTATTTCATATCATAATCGCTTTTTGTGCAATTTTTTAATCTCTAAATATGATTAATTCCATATTGAAAAAAATTTTGCAATATATAAATTACATATTGATTTAGTCAAATCAAACCATAAATTTAAATCAGATAAAATAAGTTCATATCAGATCATCTCGAATAAGTCGAATCAAACAAAAACAAGGTGGGCCCTTAAAGGTTAAAACCATAGCCTTGGTACAAGTAAATCGATGAGTCTGGACTCTAGAGCAGCAATCGACTGTAATCGGAGGCGTCGGTGTTTAGACGGTTAGGGTGGTGGTCAGAACTAATACCAGTCGTTTCTGTAATCTTTACACTCAGTCAACTGTATTGAAATCCAGGTAAATCACCCTCATACTTTATCATACAAATTTCTACCTATACATAAATTTCACCACAGAATATCCCAGCAACTTTGGTATCATCCCACAAAAATTTCCAATCAACAAAATATCAGAGCACTTCCCAATTTCTCCAAGACTGAAGCTTTCTATTACATATTTACAATTCTTCTCTAGAAAGTCCCAATTCTGTAAAATAGTGGTCAAGCTCATTTTACCTCAACTTTAACGATATTCATTTATCATTTAATACAATCCTGAAGGAATTGTTGTTTTGGTAAATCTCGATTTTCATTTTATGGGTTTCAATTGAAGGGTGCTTTTCAAGTTTCAATTCATCTATTTGATTGTTATAATTTAGTGGGCGTGCTTAATTTTTTATTATCCTAGAATTTTTCTGTGAATTTTTCGATGGTAATTAGTGGGTTGTTTTTAATTTTTATTTTTTTGCTTGATTAATCATCACAGATTGAGATGGAAGCAAATGGGTAATGCTCCATCAATGCTTACCTAATATGATATTGAAGAAGTTCAAGAACACTGCAATAAATTGTGTATGGGGTTTATTTTGATTTTCTCTTATATTTTGTAGAATGCTAAATTTTGTCATGATTCAATGAAATATGATATATGCTATTGTTTTAATATAGTCAATCAGCAAGAGATAGTTTCTTTGTATCAAAGATTTTGTCAACTTGATCGGACTGCCAAAGGTTTTATTTCATCCGATGAATTTATGTCTGTGTCGGAGTTTGCAATGAACCCTTTAGCTCAGGTATTGAGTGTGTAGATTTTGAGATCATACTCGTGTTGGCTGTTATGAATTGAATTAACTGTTGATTAGGATTTTTTCGCGGAATTGATGTTATGAATTCGTGGTGTGTCTTTATGCAGAGGTTGTTGAAGATGGTTGATGGTTTAAATTTTAAGGATTTTGTTGCATTCTTATCTGCATTTAGTGCCAAAGCAAGCATTGAGCAGAAAGTTGCCCGTAAGTTTTCGATTTTGATCTGATAGATTTATGTTTATCGGGGATTGCTAATGGTTATCTCAATTAGTTGTTGTCTTCATCTTCTAGGCAAGAGTGCTACCTCATAATTTTGATTGTTCTGCTGCTTGAGTAATATCTCAGTCTTTGTAAATGGAATAAGGTCCGGTCAACATTATGGCTAGCAGAACAACCTATCCTGTTTTTTTGAGTTAATTTTAAAAACCTGATGGGATGTATGACTGTATCCTTCCTGTTTTTGTTTACTTTAGGATTGCATATGGATTGAAATATTGTTTTCTGAGAAGAAGGATTTATTTTGTGGGGCCAACATATCATAGGGGTTTTCTAAGTTGACTAGTGATTTTCATCGTTAAGATATTATACATAAATAGAATGACACCAAGTGAATACCATGGCTTCCACCCATGGCTGAGGTGACAATCTGGCACCCTTTGTATAAATTTTTAGACAATAAATCTTTAAGAGCTAAGAGCCAAAGACTCAATTAACATTATTGCTTCCTGGAACCAGCTTCTATTTACTTTGCCTCTGTGAGGCCAAGAATTTGTGGCACGTTAGTAGACCTCAAATTTTGAAATAAGTTGTTGTAGACCCCAAATGATGCAATTAAAATGTACCGAGGAAGTAAAAGAAAAGTAGTAAAAAGAAAGATAAATCCTTTTTGTTTATAGATGTGTAGTTAAGTATTTGAGAATCTGGTTAGATTATCAGTCATTGAGTTAATCAGTGACTATCACCTTATCTTAATGTGTGATTATTTTGTAGATTCTCTCTCCCTCTTCTCCTTTAAATCCTTTAAAGGAATGATTATTAACTCTTCTGTGGTACTTGTATTAATGCCCCTTTCAACATAACAATTTGTTAAATGACACCTGTGTAAGCTCCAAATTTTAGTGAGTAGCTATAGTAAACAAATTCTCTTGTCTCTTTTGCAGTTATTTTCAGGGTTTATGACTCGGATGGCAATGGGAAGGTGACTTTCAATGACATTATAGAAGTGCTTAGTGATATGACTGATTCATTCATGACTGCTGAGCAAAGAGAGGTATGGGCAGTTTTACAACTACATTCATTCTTTGCTTTTTATACAGAGTTCATGTGGTTTGATACAAATGCCATGACCTGTATAAAATTTCCAATGGTGAAAACTACTAAAGATAGTTGGCTTAATTTAACAGAACTTTTTTTTTCTGTTTTATTCTTTACCAGTAACTTTTTCATTGCACGATAAATACCTATATTATTCATAGCATATATAATTTTATTCTTTACCAGTTACTTACCTGTTTTTTTACCAGGCCACAAGTATTCATAATTAAAGATATTTGATTCCCGATCCCTATAATATTTTTCTTCCAGCTTTACCATTAATTATTATTATTCTTTCATATATAAATCAAATAAAGTAATATTTTAAATATTCTGTATAAACATATATTATGGGAAACTTTCTATCCATTTTTCTTTGACAAATCTTCTTATAAGATTTATAATTCATTCTTTGCTTTTGATACAGAGTTCATGTGGTTTGATACAAATGCCATGACCTGTATAAAATTTCCAATGGTGAAAACTACTAAAGATAGTTGGCTTAATTTAACATAACTTTTTTTTCTGTTTTATTCTTTACCAGTTACTTTTCCATTGCACGATAAATACCTATATTATACATAGCATATATAATTTTATTCTTTACCAGTTACTTACCTGTTTTTTTTACCAGGCCACAAGTATTCATAATTAGAGATATTTGATTCCCGATCCCTATAATATTTTTCTTCCAGCTTTACCATTAATTATTATTATTCTTTCATATATAAATCAAATAAAGTAATATTTTAAATATTCTGTATAAACATATATTATGGGAAACTTTCTATCCATTTTTTTTGACAAATCTTCTTATAAGATTTATAATCTACTATTATATTTTTTCCCCTATATTACCATTGTCCCTCTTTATATACTTAGTATATATTTAATTAAAATATTGTTTGAAATCTTTATTGTCTTTTATATTAAGAAAAACTAATTTACATGCAACAATGTAGGATCATCATCCATCAACCCAGGATCTCCACAATTTTCCTTCACTCTCCAAAACCCTTTATAAATACCCTTCAAACCCACTTTATCAAAAACACCTTATTAAAAACACAACTCCCTTTCTTTTACTCCACAAAAAAAAAAAAAAAAAAAAAAAAATGGCAACAAATATTGTAGTACAATTGTTGGATTTTGGGCAAGTCCATTTGGGATGAGAGTGAGGATAGCATTAGCTGAAAAATGAGTGAAATATGAATACAGTGAACAAGATTTGAAGAATAAGAGTGAATTACTACTTAAGATGAACCCGGTTCATAAAAAGATACCGGTTCTTGTTCATAATAATAAACTGGTTTGTGAGTCTCTTATAATTGTTGAATACATTGATGAAGTTTGGTCTGATAAAGCTACTTTGTTGCCTTCTGATCCTTATCGTAGGGCTCAAGCTCGTTTTTGGGCTGATTTTGTTGAGAAGAAGGTAACTCTTAAGAATTTTAACTTTTTATTTTTATTAGCCTGTCTCTTGTCAAGCGGTCTACCTAATTAATGTGTTTAAAATCAATAATTAAAGGATTTCGATTAAAAGTAGTTATGGTAATTTATAAGTGAGTATTTATTAATTCGAATGGAAAAAACAAGTAGGACATTACTAAGTCTACCTAATTATAAAATGGTGAGTTTGATTTTCACTACCACTACTCTAGCTAGTTGAAATAGGTTCATTTTGTAATAATTTATATGTTAAGTTAGATGAAGATATATGTCCAACATTTGATCAAATGACTAACATTTGTACAGATATACGATACTGGGAGGAGAGTTTGGACCACTAAAGGCGAAGATCAAGAGGCGGCGAAGAAGGAATTCATTGAGCACTTGAAGGTATTGGAGCAAGAGTTAGGGAACAAATCTTACTTTGGAGGAGATGAATTTGGGTTTGTTGATATTGTTTTCATCCCATTCTATAGTTGGTTTCACGCCTATGAAACATTGACCAACTTCAAGATTGAAGAATCTTGCCCAAAGATCATTGAATGGGCTAAGAGGTGCATCCAAAGGGAAAGTGTGGCTAAAGCTCTTCCTGACCAAAACAAGGTTTATGAGTTTATTTTGGAGTTAAAGAAGAGGTTGGGCATTTAGAGAAGCTGCTTTTTTTATGCTGTATTGTATGGTTTGGTGAGAGTAATAATGTAAGGCGTATATTATCGTAGGATTAATAATGTTATCTTATTGTATGGTTTGGTGAGAAGTTGGTTTTTTATGCTATATTATTGTATGGCGATTTATTTGAAAACATAAAGCGTATATTATCGTATGAATAATAATCTTACTCGAGTGTTTCTAAGTCTAGTTTCTCTTGTTACTCCTATGGACCCTTTCTTTCAAAAAATTTGACGCAATTTTATATTCTCTCGTCCCATAATTAAGTGTCCGTTTTTAATATTTCACAAAAATTAAGAAAAGTGTAAAATCATGTGGGTAAGTAGTAATGAGAATAGTTACAAAGAATCAAATTGTATTATACGGAATATTTTACTCCGTATTTTTTAGTGAATACAATAATATAAAAACATACACTAAAGTAATAAAGACTAGCTCAGCATATAAATTAAAATAAGTAATAAATATAATGACTAGTATACTACTATAGTATTTAACACTAACCATATATATTGATTAGATTGTCTAACAAGTAGGGCTAAGCAAAATTATCCAAAAATCCGAATCGAAAATTAAGGTACCCGTCTCAATAACCACAACAATGCGGATACTCGATCTGATAATTTATTATCGGGTACGGTTATTGGGTATCATTTTAAAATTAACGGTTATCCGATCCGATAAGCAATTTTTTTTTCCTACTTAAATCTATTTATCCAAAATCTAAACTCTTACTTTACATCGTAATCACTTCATAATTTAAATGATCAGTAATTGTTAGGGGTGAGCATGAGACAGGTTCCCGCACTGTTACACTATCGGTTCGGATACCCGATAACCAATAACACTAAAAATGATATCCATTACCTGAACTTCAGGTACCCGAATTTTAGGAACGGTTATCGGGTATCTAATATGATATCCAATAATGAGAATTTAGACTTTATAATATAGTTATTATGATATCATTCAACAATAATACCACATGATCATGACCAAATTACTAATAATTACTAGGGGTGAGCAAATTGGGTAACCGATCAAAATTTTAGGACCCGGACCCGGAATTGGTTGGGACAGGGTCCTAAATCCGGAACTGGAATTGGAATTTGTTAAACCAGGTCCTAAAATTTAGGACATAGAATTGGAATCACCGGATACCGATTTCGGTTTCGGGTACCCACTTATGTATATAATGGGCGAATGATATACATAAAACCTAACGATCAATCATCAACATCAAACAAAAAAAATCACAAAATACAAACCCAAAAAGAGTCGCAAATTTGTAAAAACAACAATTGAATTTAAATTGAAACAATCAGTCAAAATCAAATCTAATAACAAGTCATTAACATTAAAAAATCACAAAATACAAACCCTAAACAAGTCGCAAATGCTTAATAATAAAATTCACCAGGAAAATCCAGAACACAACAATTGTACATTGAAACAATCAAATCAAAATCAAAATAAAAAATGAAATAGCACTAACCGTGAAAAACTGATAGATCGAAATTCGTGAGGTTGTGTGATTTGATGAGAATGAAGAAGATTATCTCTCTCTAAAACGCGGAAGTTTGTGAAAAACTAGAAATTGTGGTGGGGGATAGCCTTATAAGGCGCAGGAAGGTTCTGGAGAATGCTGATTCGGACATTATTTTTTTTTATTTACTCCTATTTTTTATTCCGCTTCATAAAGGTGGTACCGCTGATAGCAAATAATTAAGTTCGTATTATTTTACACACACGTTAATAGTTGGTATTATTTTAAGCCAATTTTTCTAAAAGTAATCAAAAGTTGTGATTATTTTGAGCAAATGATGCAAAAGTACGAATTATTCTGAGCAATTTTTCCAAAAAAAAAAAAAATTTTTTTTTTCAAAAAATTGGGTTCGCACTTAAACCCACCCTAAATACGCCCCTGGCTGCAGCCTTCCCTCTCTTTCTCCTCCATTGAAGCATACTCTGAAATTCTCCATTGAAGCGGCTTCTGAGCTTTCTCCCCTCCATTGAAGTAGCTTCTGAAACAAGGTACCTTCCTTTTAATTATCGAATATCAATTTCATATTCAATTGTTTAATTCCACACTTTCGTTAATTTAATTTTCAGTATACTCAATTTAGGGTTCAGATGATTGAACTATTGTATATAATTACTCGAAGAATTTAAGGTTTGCTAATTAAGTCAAATTTGGTTGCTAAATGTGTTGCAGTCCTCTGCCCATATACAGAAATGCCGCGAACAACCACAATAGAATGCCCAGGTTGCCCACCATTAAGAGCCCTAACTTTCGACGTACTTGGCCTTGTTAAAGGTACTAACTTTAATTTTAATTTATGCTTAATATTACCATACAATTTATTCATTTCATGGGTGTTTTTGTTTTTTATTTTTTTTAATTTTTGTTGAATAATTTCCTTACAAAATCGTCGCCATTGTTGTTCAGTAATTGAAGCTCGGAGTAAGCTAGATGGAGTTCCTAAGGTTGTAGAGAGGTGGGGTGACCCTGATTCCTCTAAAGCTATCCTCGCCGCTTCTATCAATGACCGAAAATCCAACCCTGTATGTATGAGTTTTCTGTTCCTATGTTTATATTTTTGCTTATGATCTTACTTTTTTGTGTGCGTGTTTTTGTGAATTAGTGTATTCCAGGGGTGTGCCGTGTCATATACCTTAATTTCCTATTACATCATCAGTTTGACGGGGAAGGATGGAGCTGTATTCCAGGGGTGTGCCGTGTCATATACTTTCTTGTCTAGTTTAACATGCTCGTATGCCTTAATTTCATAGGAAAAGTTGTTGATTTTGTACATATTATGCTACTGCATTGTATCTATTCAATTGAAAAATCTTCTAAATATTGTTATTGATTGCTGCAGTTGCTAGCAGTTGCCAGGAAAAATGGTGCAGTAAGTTGCTTGCTTCCCATGTCAACACCAATGTAAATGGTATCATGCGTATCCTGTTTTAAGCTCATACTTTTTGCTGCGTTGTGTACACGGTATTGTACTATTCAAATTGAAGTTTTGAGTCCGGTTACTGGAGAGTTGTGTTTTTCAATCTGTGATGATGGTGATGACACTTCTCCATTAGATGACCCGATTGCTGGATTGCATTTATTTAAAAAGAGGATGGTAGAGTCATCATCAAGGTAGGTCATTTTAACTCTCTTTGTATGACATCAGAAAATAAAAGTTTTTTTTTGGTTTTTAAATTTTGACCTGAGTTAGTAAAGGATACAATGGGGTCACTGTGGTGGTATTAAATTAATCTCTATATGTTTTATGTGTAACTAGGTCGTGAACCTTGCTTTCTTGTACAACTAAAGGGAAAGCAAGCTTGAGGAGAATTGAAGATTTTGATTCACACACTGGTTCTGTTTCTTTTGCTACTCCAGAAACGTGGAGTGTGTGCGGTTCTGGTGAGATTTGCTGCTCCAAAGTACATGCTGATGAAGGCTACTCTGTGTTTGGAGGGTAAGCCTTGTGTATTCAGAACTATATTTCTTAAGAAATTTAAAAATTAAGATCTTTTACTGTTTTTATTTAAATAATGCTGATTTTGTGTTGAATGATATGCTTTAATTTCTGTTATTATGTTTCTTTTTAGGAAAGGCATTGAAATTAACATGTGGGACCTGGAGAAGACTAGTAAGATTTGGAGTGCAAAATCTGTAAGCTAAATAATTTTACTAATTAATAACTGCAATGTGACCTTGTTGTGTTTCACTTTTGTCAAGCAAACATAAATTCTAATTATTGTTGTTATGCTTTTGCAGCCCCAAGCGAATAACCTTGGAATTTTTACGCCAACTTGCTTTACATCTTTGACCTTCCTAAGCAACGATGATCATCGCAAGGTTGTGGTTGGTACCAAAAACCACCAGGTAATATTAGCTGATGGAGATTCTTGTTGTCAGTTGTATGGAGGCAAATGTGGTCCTTTTTAAGACCATGCTTTGTTTTATTAACTTCCTTAGATTTGGGAGATCCTTATATAGCCAGTTTCCTATGAGTGGTGGGGGGGGGGGGGAGGCGGGTAAGGGGGATGTGGAATTTCCTATGTCTTTTTTCCCCTGACGTAGACATGTCTGAGCACATTTCTAATTACATAAGCTATAGATTGCAATCCGCACTATTTCTTCAAAAAAGGTTTTCTCTTTGTTGACTTAGGGTCTGAAATGTCTCAACTTCTATTACTCTGGGTAAAGATGCATGAGCAATGCTCCATATCCTTTCCTAAGATCAGTCTGGGTGCATATTTGAGCAGATGGAGAGTAGCTTTAGTAATTCCCATCTAGGGATGCAAGAACTTTTTCATAGACTCAGCACACGATATGGGTGAAACTGTCTTTGCTTGTCTGAGTGTCACTTTCTATCAGCCACTAGTGGTTTACTCTTGGCCATGGTTAGTGCATTACTTCATGGATATTTTTATACACCATTATTTATTTAAAGTGTTTGTACCCTGTGGAGACTACCTATTCTCATTGGGGACCTTTCGGAACGTGACCCATCAAATCTCTGGGCATATTCAGGAATCTGCAAATCAAATCCACTTATTTTAGCCTTTTTTCAGAAGTTGATCTAAGTGTTAAATTTTCCTTTTTAAGATGGTTATTCAACTCAATAAGATATTTGCCTCTGGTTACCTTACGTGATAGAAATTTTAATTTTCTTTTAAACATGTTTTGATGTATTCGAAAAATAATACGGAGTAGTAGATAATAAACTAGCCCAGTTTTTTGAATTTCCAACTGAGTAATTGTTAAAAACCCATCTTCCTTAGCCCACAAGGAAGTTAAATAAGTCATATTCACTAAAATGCTTCATTAGAAAGATGTAAACATTCCCTTCATCCATTTCCACAGAAAGTACAAATAGCCATTAAAACATTCTATTCTTTCTCTTCATCTTCTCTTTCTTTGTCATATTTGAGAGCTGTTATTTTTAATCAGTGACTAAAGATATAATTATATTTTGAAGATTTTAGGGAAGCATAATAGCAAGTTTACCTTTTATTTGCATTATTTGTTTACCGAATTTTAGCTTATGCTCACCTTTGTCTGGATAGGTTTGCCTCTACGATACATCATCTCAGAGAAGGCCCGTGTTATCAATTGATTTTAGGGAGACACCTATTAAATCTGTTGTAGAAGATTTGGATGGACATACT